CTCCTTGGCCTATTGCGCGACTCAACTTCCAAAGAAGACTCGTCCTAGCTCGGCCCAATTTGCTCACAAATTACCCTCTCAGCAAGCAATTCACTAAAATCTATATATTATATAAGGAAAAATGGAGTTTCTAGTCTACAAGCCTTGTGGGAGTTTCAATATCCTAATCTTAATTTTTTTATTTTTTTATTTAAAAAAAATTAGCATTTATTGATTTCTTTTAACCCACAAGCCTTTTTAACTTCTTCCATACTTACTTTAGCATTATTTTCAACTTCTCCCATATACTATTGTTAGTGATGGGATTATTAAATTATTTTTATAAAAAAATAAAAAAATAATTTGTATATTAAAAAAATATCTAAAATAAATATAAATTCTTATTAAAAAATAACAAGTTGCAATTGTGAAAAAAAGAGAAAAAAAATAACACTGTAAAAAAATAATTTGTATATTAAAAAAATATCTAAAATTCCATGCACTATGGTTAGTGATGAGATTGCTAAATTATTTTTATAAAAAGAATCTAAAAAAATTTAAAAAAATCTAAACAAATATAAATTCTTATTAAAAAATAACATATTGCAATTGAGGGAAAAAAAATTATACTGTAAAAGATAATTTGTATATTAAAAAAATATATAAAATAAATATAAATTCTTATTAAAAAATAACATATTTCAATTGTGGGGGGAAATAAAAATTACGCTATGCATTTCATTAATAATGCTTAAGAAATGTGTCAAGTATTTGTGTAAAGGCTTAACATGTGTCCATTTTCAAACTATCAAGTAAATATAAATGAAACCAAATAACTCAGCTTTAATAGCTAACAAATATTAGAAACCCGACTATTGAAACATAATTACTATTAATTAGAATTCAGCAATTGAAATGTCTCAAACCACATCTATTTATCTTCTTAAATGTTCTATTCTTTTTGTTTATGCATTCATTCTAATATTGATATAGAATTGGACGTATGGAAAAGTGAGAGACATTAAAATTATATATTGAGTTATGTAATTGTTGTAATGAAAAATAAAGGTTGTCATCATCTTCTATGGCAATTTATCTGGTTATACCTCCAATTAAAATATCAGGTGTGCTTTTACATCATCATTGAACGTTACTTTTTGTGTGTGTCAATTTCTGACCACATTGCCAAACTGGTACTCAGCTGGAGAACACTGGCAAAATAGATTAAGCCCGAACAACCTGTCACAGAAATATAAGAATCCCCCAGTTGTTCGTCCATCCGGGGGTACTCCGACGATCAAGTCAGTAAAATATCTCTCAAAGATAACCAATAGTGCTTAACTCACTAGACAGAGCATAAAAAACATACCGTAGACCCATTGGGGTGCCTCCCTTTTGTAGCCAACACAATCCTTGTCCCAATAGAAGCCTAGCTCTAATGGACTTAGGATTACTGCTAATCTTGGACTCCTAGTAGGATTAGGATAAACTCTCTAAGAGTCTTATCTTTACCCAAACTGAAGTCCTTCCTTATTCTAGGACTCTTGTCCCTTATCCGTTTATCCCGGATTTCGATATTTTCGCCAATAACCCCGGCCTAGCCGAGATTACCTTGGCGTCATAACCAAGACACGTGACACCTCGGCTGGCACTTCGGTGCCACCTCGGCCACGTGCTGTCACTCAAAAATTATGTCCCCACAACTGCCCCCTAGGTTCTATTACCTCGGCATCCTGAGGTGATGGAACCTATATCATTCATTCCTTTAATCATGACCCCGTTTTAACTTCAGCTTGTAAATTTTTCTTAAAATTTCAACAAGTATTAAACATGACCTCGGTTTAACTTCAACTTGTAAATTTTTCTTAAAATTTCAACAAGTGTTAAACATGACATCGGTTTAACTTCAACTTGTAAATTTTTAAAATTTCAACAAGTGTTAAATATGTCCTCGGTTTAACTTCAACTTGTAAATATTTAAAATTTCAACAAGTGTTAAACATGACATCGGTCCATTGTTTGTTGGATCCATTGTTACCTTGGCCTCGCTTCAGCGAGCCGTTTCCCTTCTCTTGTTTTGTCGCATTCGTCCCCGGCGTGCTGAGGGACTGTAGGAATCGTTTTCTGACCCCTTTTCTGGGCACCCTTCTTGGCTGCTGGAATCGGCGTATCTTGTAACGGGAACAGTGGCTGTATGACGTTGTTCTGCATCATGAAATTGACGACCTTTTGCAGGTCTGCCAATTTGTCTGCTATTCCCTTCATCTCGTCGTCCCTCTGCAGGCATCTATCTTTCCATACTTGGAGGTCATCCTTGCTATAATACCCGCTTCGGTCCGATTTCTTTGGCAAGTCGCCCTCATGGCCGACGTCCTTTTCTACGTGATTCTTATCATGAGTCTCGTCGTTGCAGTTGTCTTCTTCGACGTTAAGGTTAATATGTTTCCCACTCCCAGTAAGAGTGTCGTCACCAACCTTCTCTTTCTGTCCGTCATTGGCCATCTATTCTCCTTTCTTTCCCATAGACAGCGCCAAATTGTGTGTGTCAATTTTCGACCACACTGCCAATCAAGCACTCAGCTGGATAACACTGGCAGAATAGATTAAGCCCGAAAGACCTGCAACAGAAAGAAGAGATTCCGGCGGTGGTTCGTCTACCCGGGGGCACTCCGACGATCAAGTCAGTTATCTCTCAAAGATAACCAATAGTGTTTAACTCACTAGACAGAACATAAAAGACATACCTTAGACCTATGGGGGTGCCTCCCTTTTATAGCCAACACAATCCTAGTCCCAATAGTAGCCTAGCTCTAATAGACTTAGGATTACTACTAATCTTGAACTCCCAGTAGGATTAGGATAAACTTTTTAAGAGTCTTATCTTTACCCAAACTGAAGTCCTTCCTTATTCTAGGACTCTTGTCCCTTATCCGAGGACTCTTGTCCCTTATCTGCTTATTCCGGATTTCGATATCTTCGCCAATAACCCCAGCCTAGCCGAGATTACCTCGACGTCATAACCAAGACATGTGACACCTCGGCTAGCACTTCGATGCCACCTCGGCCACGTGCTGTCACTCAAAAATTATGTCTCCACACTTTCATTTTTTTAGATTCTTTGTCTTATAATTATTTGTGATTTGTATTATAAAATTTATTACATCTGTCCTAATGCAATAAATGCAAATTATTTCAATGTCATTCTCAGGATTAGAAGTACAAAAAACATACACAAAAAGTATATGAGTAGATAAGATTTTACAAAATTTGTTTGTGAGTCTCACTTTTTGAAAATCCTATAATTCATTTATTTTTTTGTATTATATTTTATGTTTAGTTTATGTTTTTTTTTTATATAGTTTTCTTTGTTTTTTTAAAAAAGTTTATTAATAAATAAATAAATTTCTATTTCAACAATTTCATTTTTTTTTTTTTTTCTTAAAGTAGTTTTAGTTTTGGATAATTACTTACTTAAATTTCTATTTGAACAATTTCATTTTTGTTTTTATTTTTTATTTTTTCTTAAGGTAGTTTTAGTTTTGGATAATTACTTACTTTTTTCTATATATTATAATTTTGTGCATTTTAAGTGTATGATATTTTTATTAATACACTTGGAGATGTACTATGAAAGAAGTATTATGCAAAAATCAAGTAAGAAGAAAAAAAATAAATAAAATAATACAATGAATGTGGAGCAAAGATCAAAGATCAAAACTCCAAAAAGCAAACAAGCAAGTAGAATAGAATGTTTAACAATAGATATTTGAAAATTTGTAACAAAATTTTATAACTTTTCTTTTTGCTAAAAAAATTCTATTTGGTGATAACTAAATAAATTGTTTTTAAAATAATTTTTTTTTAAATTTGAAATTAAAACTATAGTAAATTTATGTAAGTATAATTGGTAACCACATTTTTTTACTTAATGTATAATATTTATATTGATTACCTTTTTCAGATTTCTTTTTTGGGAAAATTATCATAAAGTCCTATGTACCAAACTGTTACTCCTTATGGTCCTAAATTGAATCTTTTGGTTTGGCAAGTCCTATTTTGCACATTTGGTAGACAACCAAGTCCCGTTTCAAATTATGTGAGGTATGGGTAGACTGATTTGCCCTTTTTTGTTATTGGAATCTACGTGTGTTGTGGGATTGATTGAATAGTTTGTGGGATACGCTGCTCTGTCACATTTGGCAAGTTGGATCCTATGTTTTTGGGTGTGACTAATTCGTGGGTCGGGCTAAAGGCTTATTGTGAGTTAGCAAAGTAGGGTTTCGTTGTTCTCTTGCTCGTGGTGAGAGCTGCTGCAGTCGTCAACATTGGTTATCATTGCAGGTATGTAATACGCTTATGTCTTTTTCATAGTTAACACGTCATTGCCCTGCAGAAGACGTGTGTCCATGATCACGTTTGTACGTTCTTCACATTGTCCACAATTGTTCTACTTACGATGTCATTTTTGGTTTTTTTGACATGTATAACATGTGTTTTCACCGATGTCAGTGTCTGTGCTCGTAGGTATGGAAGGGACTTTGATGTTGCTGTGTTCTTATCGGAACATTAACGCAACCTACAATATCCGAGATCATGGCACGTTTGCCGAATTAGTTAATTTTCTGTGTTTCAAGTTCAGTGGGATAGGTCCCCATAATGTGTGATTGTCGTACAAGATTCCAGGTTTAAACAGTTTTACTTTATAAGATGATGCGGATTTGGGAAACCTTGTTCGTCTTGCCCGATCGTTCGGATTGGAACACGTTTGTGTGTTGGTTGATCAGCATGGAAGGTTGGATAGCGTAAGTGCGTACAGCGAACAACATAATATGCAAAACAACCCGGTGTCCAGAGTAAACATTAATGACCAAGGAGAAAGTGATGACGATGTTGATTTGTTGCCTGATTTCTGCCCGCACAATAATAAAGTATTACTGACTGAATCATGGGTGCGGGGGTTAACCCACGTCGCGCAATGCTTTGAGGGGGGGCACACGAATTTCGTATGGTTTTGTGCAAGTATGCCGTGGAGTTTGGGTTTAATTTCAGGTATGTTAAGAACGATTCTGTACGGGTCACAGCAGTGTGCTCCATGGTGGAGGATAAGGGCTACACGTGGTTTGTACATGCTCAGGGTGTTGAAAGCGAATCAATTTTTCTACCTTCGCAAATGGAATAGTGTACATAGTTGCGGTGTATCCGTCCGGACATCAAATCATCCAAGGATTGGATCTGATATGGTTGCTGATATTTTGGCAACTCGTGTTCGGGACAGACCACTCACACGTCCAACTGATGTCGTCTTAGATTTGAAAGATGATTATGGGTTGGACGTCAACTACCAGGTTGCGTGGTTAGGGGTTGAGAAGGCAAGGGGGGAATTGTTTGGCGCCCATTCCATATCATTTGACCAATTGCGTTGGTATCATGAAGCCGTCATGCAATACAATCCTGGGAATTATGTTGAAATCAATTACGATGAACACAACTACCGGTTCCGGCATTTTTTTATTTCATTCAAAGCATACATTGATGGGTTTCGTCATTGTCGTCCATTACTTTTCCTGGACGGAACCTTCTTGAAAGGCAGGTTCAAAGGGTTTTTACTAGCTGCCACCGCGAAGGATGGTAATCAAGGTGTGCCCCATTTCATTTGAAAACATTGTATTGTTATGGTTTGATATATTGCACACGCTAATCATGTTGTCCTCATTTATAATAGGGTTGTTCCCGCTTGCTTATGCCATTGTGGACTCTGAAAACCACACAAATTGGGGTTGGTTCTTACAACATCTTGCCAACGTGGTACCCAATGATAGGACACTGACGTTTGTGTCTAATCGAAACGTGAGACTTATGGAAGCAATGCCTACATTTTTCCCCACATCTCACCATGCATTCTGCCTCCAACATTTACAGAGAAATCTGCGGGACAAACTACGAAATGTGAACAGCATGCATCGAATTGGGCTTGTCAACAAATTTCAAAAGTGCGCATACGCACCCACCATAACAACATTTAATCAAAAGGCTGACGAATTTCAACAATCTGGAAAAGCAATTGCTACGAAATTCCTTGCGGATGCATATCCACAACACTGGGCGAACGCATTTTTCAGGTACGAATATTTTCCGTTACGCAACGTAAACATGAACATACCCAACAACAAACGAGCATGCTTTATTGTTTATGTTTTTTTCCCCTTTGGGTTTTGCAGAGGTAGACGATACGGTGAAATGAGCTCTAACGCCGCCAAGTCATTCAACTTTTGGATTCGCGAAGCACGGAATCTACCAATCACCAGAATGGTTGACAGCATCAAAGGTCAGATTATGCGACAAATGGCGAAGCGGAGGGTGTCGGCCTACACATGGACTGGCGCAATTTGTCCCAAAATGGAATCCCTGCTGGAAGAAGCTTACAACAAAAGTCGGGCATGGAAAGTGAGTCAGGCGAATAACGACGTGTACGAGGTCCATTCATTCCCATCTGTTATGGTGGACATCGGCAGACGTACATGTTCGTGTTTCCAGTGGCAAATAAATGAGTTTCCATGTGCGCATGCTATTGTTGCAATGCGAAAAAGTGGGAAAAACCTTGACGACACAGTCGTACCTTGGTACTATGTGTCCGAATATCGTTTGACGTATGCGCCCACCATCTACCCAATACCAACAGTTGAAAAACCACCATTCAACCCCACCGACTACGTCATTTACCCACCAAACGTCAAACGTCCGCTCGAGAGGCCGAAGAAGAAGAGAATACCGTCTAAAGGTGAGAATGTGCAACAAATACGCTGTGGAAGGTGTGGTCATATGGGGAACCACAACAGGAAGACCTGCAAAGAACCTATTTAGACGTAATCCCAATACGTCGATATCCCAATTTATATTACTACGTTTTCAAGTGGTTGTGTACTTCATGCATACCATTAAATAAGAATGTGATAGTCACATACAATTCAATATTTAAATAACTTGTTATGTCAATGTTTTTGTTTGCCTATAAGTACAATTGGCTTACGAATTTTGTTATGTTCTATCCGTTACACAAATATATTTTGTGTACCTTTGCTTAAACCGTATTTTAATTTTATCATAGTTTTGTTTTGAACGCATGAATTCAGACCATGCCTACATGTACGCTGCGTGTACATTCACTATAAGTATTCGTGAACTCTGTTAGTTTACTTACGTATAGCCGTACACACAACGACAAAATAATGAACCTTGTGGAAAACCTCCTTCATTTACAATCACAACACTTACACTGTGACATGCAACTGCACACATACGATTGACACCTCACGATTTTTCATAAACCGCTAGACCTTCACATCACACTCAACTTTCTGTACCGTACATGACCCCCCGTAATGCAAAAAACACACACCTGTGTACCTTACATACAACGTACGTACGTAACATAAAAATGCTACCTCCCTATCCTAACTTAACAGTTACTAAAACACCCATTTACACCACACTCCCCCACGTCACCATCAGTACCGTCTCCAAAAATTCATTACAATGTACTAACCACATACTCAACGTCGAACTACATACATACTGACACAAAAAATAACAACCCACATCACACTAAAACACTGTCACGCATATTGTCGACCCCTTGCACACATTCACACCTAACTGTTGTTCACGCACCACAATGGGCTGAAACGTGTGCCTTTTTTAAAATAGTAAACCAATGTCAGTCTGATTGGGTTTACACATTATCCATCAACCGATAACATTACACATGAATGAATGTCCCAACGCATAACTAAGGGAAAACAACTACACAACATACTTACAAACAACCACATCAGTCATCACAATACACATACTTTCCACAAACTTGCAACCAAAACATATCATAATATTATCCAAAAAAATGCCAGCTAACTGCAGTCATAATGTTGTACACGCCTGTTATGCGTTAATTCAAGACAAACCATCCAACACACTAACCTAACAATATGAACAAACCATAATCTGTGCTAATAACCAAAAACGTAAATATTTGCGCATCATAGCGCACACAATCTGAAAAACCCATATTCGATACTAATATTGTAACCATATAGTACTATGTGCACCCCTACACACCCGCAACGTTATGCACAACGCGTCAGATGTGCGTACCCTCATTCAGTCCAGATCGTTTTTCAAACCCTGTCGCGGGTCATTCACAAAAGACTTCACCATGATCGCCCGCAACACACTGCAGTTGCCCCCATGCAGTGATCTCCTAACTTCCACATGGCGCACATACTGGCGCATCACAACACACACAATGACAGCGCAATCAAGCCTATCCAATAATATCACATCGCATGTTATTAATGTCGTAAGTATAAATTAAGACAATTCATGTTCTGTACCAGCTTACGTCGTTAGGGAAAAAAATGTGCTTACGATTCGGGACGTTGTTGGGGATAGTTCACCACTGATTCTAACGGCGGTTCATGCTCTTGAGTATCAATCGCGTCATTTCCCAAGGTCTGCCTCTGCACCTCTGACACAATGTTTTTCTACAACAACGCATACATACGTCAGCCAACACAGTTTCTATGTGGATACACACCCATACATTTTAAAATGTACACATCTTACCAGGGAAAGTGCCTTCATGTAGTGTACGTCCACAATCCCGCTCCTTGTCCTCATCGAGTTAAAATGCTTCCAACTCTCATCCTCAGTGTCATACACGACCAGCGTCCAGTGTGAGTCTTTGCACAGTGGGAAATGTACGTAACGGAAGAGCTTTGCAACATGCAGGTTGTCCAGCAAATACCTATTCCTTGACCGTACGTTGTTGTTCTTCATCATGTCCTACATCACCATGCAAACAAGTTACACATTGTGAAATCCCAAAACCAAACATAACATTTACAGCCACAAACTTACTAGACATATACTACTGAAGAAATAAGATTTGTCTGCAGCACCGACGCCCTCATTTATCCTCTCCTGCTCAGCATTAAGTAGTATAGCATATGCATCGATCACCTGTGACATTTTCACATGTTGGATTCTTGCATGGTTGGAAAAAAAAACAAAAACCAAAAAAACACATTGCATAAATACCCATCTACGCGACTTACATTCCCCCGTATCTCAGATTGGCGCACAAGTGATTTCACATCGGTGAAATACACAGTAACACCATGACCCTGCCTGTCCCACATCACAGCATTGCATATAACACATAACCCACGTCATCTAAAAACCATATGACAGCAACCCAGCTAAACCTAAACACTTTATTTCTACACACCTATCACCATCCCTGTTATATGCATCGGTGATCTTCTTTTTCTCCGCAGCTGTCATCATTTTCCACACCGCGTGTCTGTTGTTAATGTCAAAGCCCGACTTCTTCTTTGCTTGTATGCCAACATCGTCCACATCAATTACATCCATACACCCACTATTTCTGGCATTGCAGTCTACATTGCTCTTGAATGACGGAACATGCACCACGTTCGATGTGCTCGTCTGCCCAGTTACACCCAGGCACTCAACCCTCGTCAGTGTTAACCCCTTTCTCACTTTGCATTTGACATCCCAGACAAATGAATTTTTCCCAAAATTCAACCTACCACCTTCTGCCATGTTTGGACTGATAACCACCACCTCTGTGCCAACCATTACACCATGCTGCATTTCACTGACACTGATTGTTTGGTCCGGTACCGGCGTGACATCCCATACCAGAACTGTATCCCCAGTTACTGCAAACACTCTGTTAGGGGTGCTATTGATTGTTAGGTCTGTAACATGTTCGTTCCCACTCAACCCGTGTTTCACACCTTCTACATTCACGTCTACACCACCAAATGCTTATGTCACGTTATGGACTTCGCGCTCAGCAACCTGATCCTCCAAAACATTAACTACCCTTTGCAATTCAACATTTTCAGCGCTGAGTTTTTTCACCTCATCGTCCTTAGCTTGCATCAAACTACCAAAACCTCCAACAAGATGCAACGTTTGCACCTCATTCGCCTGTCTCAACCTGTCCACTTCTGTACGTAACTCTGAAATCACTTTGTCTTTCTCGTTGATTTACAGTTCAAACTCCATAATTTTCTCCGTGGCGTGGCAAACGTATGGCACAACGTCCATTATGTGCTTCTCTACGTTTCGCAGTTCAAACTCCACAATTTTCTGTGTAGCGTGGCAAACATGTGGCCTAACGTCCATTATGCGCTTCCCTGCATTTCGTGAAACATTCCTGTTTGGTGTCCTAAAAAGAACCGAAGTTGAACCCCGTTCCACATTTCTATCACAAATTCCTCTGTCCCCACCCGTCACATTACCACCCACTCCTATATCAACGAAATCATCCTCATGCACACTACCACCGAATTCCTCAATTGTATTTCCCGCACTCCTTGCGCCGTTTACCCCATTCACCTCAAAAATCTTAACCTCATAGTCTTTCGTAAGCAATCGTCCAGTTGTCACCTGTAAACGCAACATAACAAATGCATGAACAATTTTCAAACGATGTCCCGTATAATACAATCATAAATACCATTTTATATTACCTCAAAATCCACATGCCTTGACAGATTGACCTACGTACATCTGTTACTAATGTGGCAACATCCCACTTCAGAAACCTGAGGAATGCGACTGCAGATACGGGCAATATGATCGTTGAATATTCACAGAGCCAATACTGTACCCCACATGACACACAACAAATAATAACTTCCAAATTAGCTACATGACTACACCACATATAACATAAATAAATCACTTGCAATTAATGGCACACCCAACAAATAAATTTGAATCAAACGTACCATCAATGCGACGACACATCCAGTGGCTTTTTCAGGTATTCGATAGAAGTCCCTTACCGAACTCATCAATGAGCTACGGATTGCCCCCGTCCAATCGTACGTTTTCATTACATCCAAATTATCCACATATTGAATTAGAGCCCAGCTGATTGTTTCCCCAGAATTTGAGAAGAATAATTTTCCACAAGCATATAAGCACAGCAACTTCACAGTGTCTTCCACATCACGAGCAGTACTACCCTCCGCAGTTTCGAGTAGTAGGGTCTGTATCAGTTTCGAGGTTATGCGACTAGTGTTAAGACACTTACGTTGAACGAAGTCGGACGGTGGCTTAGGTCGGGGGGTCAAATCAATGCAACCAAATCCATATTGAATCTTAAAGATTAACTTGATGTCATCATCGCTTACGCACACGCTTCATCTTCCAACGCGAAACGTCCCGTCCCGTGCATTGTAAGCCCGAATGATATTTACCACCAAGTCGTCCCCTTTGCGGAACTCCGCGTGGTCAAGTTGATTTATCAAAATTGCTTCAAACATCAACCAGAACGGTGTTTTTTTAAGGTGAACAAGGTGTTCGTCTCGCAGATTCAGCATGTACACTAACTTCACAATGCCTGCAATGTTCGACCGGAAGTTGAGCCTCGTACGGTTAAGCTTCGGTGTGACACTTAGACGATTAACAATTTTTGTCTGTTTGAACAAGATCAGCCCTTGCCTACATATCCCAAGCTCGTTTGCCATTGTTTTGTAGTAGGGTCCGTATCAGTTTCGAGGTTATGCGACTAGTGTTAAGACACCTACGTTGAACAAAGTCGGACGGTGGCTTAGGTCGGGGGGTCAAATCAATGCAACCAAACCCACATTGAATCCCAAAGATTAACTTGATGTCATCATCGCTTACGCACACGCTTCATCCTCCAACGCGAAACGTCCCGTCCCGTGCATTGTAAGCCCGAATGATATTTACCACCAAGTCGTCCCCTTTGCGGAACTCAACGTGGTCAAGTTGATTTATCAAAATTGCTTCAAACATCAACC